ACTAAGAGACATGTCTGTTGCCAATATCACAACTTATGTTGGAGAGATCATTCATGAGGATGAAAGACAAACACAAATTCCTATACCAGGCGATATTGAAAAATCTGAGTGTGTTGGTAAGGATGAGAGTGAGGTTAATATTTTGATAAATAGTCAAGAGATTGAGAGTTCCGAGGAAACACCTAAGCAGTTGCACAACCCCTCTTTACTTCAAAATATTGAAGAGGTGCAACAAAATGCTAAGATTGTCATTGACCCATGCTTTGATGTTATGAAGGAAAAATATATTGTTGCAAATACAACAGCGTTTCTGCAAAAAAACTGTACAAAAAACCTCTTAGTTATTTTTAAAAACGGACGTGATGATAAATCGAATGACTCGGGAGACTCTATAAAGTCATGTTCAACTGTTGGTGAGGTGATGTGGATAACTCTTTATGGGATGAAATGTTCCCCCATTTGTGCCATTAAAATATTTTGTCGTGATCAAGGAGTGAAGCAAGTGGTGAGGAAAGTATTTAAGCATAAGTGGAAAGAGAAACATCAAGATGAGTCGGTGAGGACGATTTCGATCGAGGAGCATAGTGATGTGCTCCAGCAAATTCCACCATTCTTCAAGAAGTTGTTAACAAGAGATTCAGCCGCTGAAAAAGGAGAACACCATGCTAAAAAAGAAGGAAATACACCTTCTGGTGCTGCACCATTCATTCTAACAGCAACAATAACACCACAACCTACTCTTATGGAGTAGAACAGGTTCAAATCACTACCTTTAGTCTCCATATTTGTTTTTGAGTCTAGGATAGTTTTTATAGATTTTAGTATTATTTTCTTTCACGATTAAAAGATGTGAAGGTAGTTAACTATGGAATCATAGCCCAAAATTATTTGGTTACTCCTCACTCACCTAGGTTACTTTGTTCTTACTAGAACTAGTAAAACTCTTTTTAGGACAACACTTTGCTCACACAATCTACACTTGATTAGGGAATGACATAGGCCTTCATTTGTTATTTAATACAACCACTTGCACCTTTCAAACACTATAATCCCCACAAAATCCAATAAGAACATTGTCTTATTCAAGTTTGGGGGAGGGTTATTCTATAAGGACAAAAGATCAAGACAGAAAAGCAAAGCTCTAACTTGATTCCTTATTGTAGAAGGTTTTGAAAACACAACAAAAGTCCCATAGGGGCTATGTGCATACTCCCAACAAAAGAGCACAAAGTGCACAAAATAAAAAAAAATGAATGTGGAGCATAAAAAATAAAGAGATTATGAGAGAAAAGAAATGCCAATGGAGTGACCCTATAAGCCCTATTGATCCTAAAAATATGATTGTCTTTGAGCTTAATGTAACAACCCTCACATGCCAAATACATATAATTCACATCATCATACTCATAATACTAAAAATAGTATTATTACAAAACATGAACTATCAAAATGTATCTTTAATACATATGCATAATAAACTATTATCAACATTTAGACTTTTCCCTTGCCTTTATCTTTCTGAGCACGTTGTCCTGCAAAATAGGTTAATCCAACATCGGAGCGTTAGACCAAAAGGTCTAGTGAATGTATAATCTCATACAACAATATATATTCCAAACATTCAGTTTAGAATCAAACCTGTTCTGAAACATAAGTATATTTATGTTTCTCGCGGATTACACCGCCAT